GGCCAGGGTCTGCAAACTTGCTCTGTGAAGGGCCAGACAGTAAACACGTTAGGCTTTGCAAGCCACAGGTCTCTGTCGCAACGACTCAACTCTGCCCTTGAAGGCCCACAGCAGCCACAGATAAATATGCAAACCAGCAGCTCGGCCGTGTGCCAGGAAAACTTCACAGAACAGTGGCAGGCCAGATTTGGACCCCCGGCCACGGTTTGCCCCTGAATGAAATCTGTCTTCCTAAAGAGATCAGGACAAAATTCCTTCCCTGTATCTCCCATATAATGGGCGCTGGGTGATAGGTCACCAGACCGGGGCTGGAGGATTCCGCACCAGGCCCACTGTGCTGACTGTCCCGGGCCCGAGTGCTATTTGGTTGGCTGCCCTTGGGCCATCGCTCCAGCTCCAGCCCGTCCCGCCTCACCCAGCAGGCCACGCGGCAGCCCCACTCGTGGGCTGGCTTCTGAGGTCCACAGGGTCAGCCCCAGAGCCTGGTCAACCCCTGGGGGACTGAGGCCCCAGGCTGACTTTGTGCAGGGGAGCTCGGGTGCCCAGAGGCCCACACTCCTCGCCTAGGTCACCAAGCACCCCCAGCTCTCTGGGGCTTGGGAGAGGCTCCCCCCACTTCAATCACTATACCTACTGTGCCCTAGGCTCAATGCAGTGTCAGTGAGCCTCCCAGCCCTCTCCAAGGTCGGGTTTTCTCTGCCCCTTGAGCCTCACCAGAGCTTAGCTGCCCCTCCCCTTGATGGGGCTGCACTTGGCAAGTGGCCTCCAAAGAGCAGAATATGAAAAGGAAAAGGAACTGCTCAGGAGGAACCTGGCGAACACTACCTGAGTCAGGTGGTCAAGGTCAACACCATCGGTGCTACATCTTGTTGACAGCCTGTGCCCTGGATGTGATGAAGGCACTTCACCTCTGCAGTCTTCCTCCCCAAGCCCGTGGCCCCGGTCTAACCACGAGAAAAACATCAGATCGGCCCTAATAGAGGGGTATTGTACAAAATACCTAACCAATATTCCTCAAAGCTGTCAAGGTCATCAAAATCCAGGAAAGTCTGAGAAGCCATCCTAGACCAGAGGCGGCTAAGGAGGCGTGAACTAAACAACGCGGTTGGTATCTTGGATGCAATCCTGGAACAGAGAAGGACATTAGGGAAAAACTAGCAGAATCCGAACAAACTGTGGGGTTTAGTTACTAGCAATCCATCGAGGTTGGTCCCCCAGCTGGGACAACGCACCACAGTAAATACGGTCGTTAACAGTGAGGGAAACCAGGTGAGGGGTACATGGGATCCCTCTGTATTATCACAGCAACCTGCCCTAATTCTAAAATTTAAAAAACATAGCTTGGGGCGGGCCGGGAGGGTAGGCGGGGAGAAAAGCAGCAGACAGAAGAAACAGCTCTATCTGCATAGACCGAGCCCCCAGCCTCTCTACAACCACAGTGACTGAGTACTGAGCACTTTCTGAGCACCCAGGTCAAGATGGGCCCTGAAGGTTCACAGCCCATCTGCTCTCACAGCTGCTGAGAGAGGCAGGTATCCTTAATCCCATTTTGCAGAAGAGGAAACTGAGGGTCAGAGAGGTACTTGCCCAAGATCAGCCTGTTGGGAAATGGCCCAGAGCTGGATTGGAAACCAGGGCCACCCAGCCCCAGCCCCAGCCTCCAGCCAGGACCCAGGAAGCCCTGGGGCTGAGTGGGGCTGGGGGTGCGCTCTCAGTGTGGGGCTCGGGATGTCCCTTCGTTGCCGGCTTTCCAACCTGAGGGACATCAGGAGCTCCCCGCTGCCCCACCTTCCAGCCGACTCAGAGATCGCAGACTGGTGGCCTTTGGTTAGCATCTGGCCCGCAGACATGACTGGTTTGGCTCATGTAAATTTAAACATGAGTTAGCTGCCAACATGGAAGAACTGGGGTGTTTCAAATAAATACGGAGTTCCTATTTCTCCTGAAAGGAGCGATCTGGCCACGCTGGGCCCATGTTCCTGTGGGGTGCAGGGAGCTGGCCCCTCTACTGGGCTGCCCGCTTGCCGCCGTCCCCGCCCGGCCTGACTCACTCGTCCGTGGGACCTGCCGGGCCTTGTGGGCATCGGAGCCCGCAGTGGCCCCAGGCTCAAGTCACATCACTCAGACACGGGACTCCCGAGGAGCTGGATGGAGAAGGCGTTGCTTCCCGTCCCTGACCCTGGGCCCCATGGGCTGGGAACCGCCAGCCTGGGGCTCCCGCCAAGCCCAGCGGCTGCCTCCCTTACCCCCTGGCTCCCCTGCGCACCAGAGCCCGGGAGGCAGGCACTGAGACCGTGGAGGACAAGGCAGGCTGGGAGAGGAGAGGGTAGGTCACATGCCCAGGGTCACCCAGCTGGGAAAAGGCCGAGCTAGGAATCAAAGTGGGCTCTCGTGAGCTTTGGACCCTGTCCCCCGCCACCACCAGCCCTCGGGACCTTCCCCTCGGTCCCAGCCTCTCTGCTCCGTCCCGGCCCAGGGCTTTCTGCACCTCAGGCCATGCCTGGCTATTCTGCCTGCAAGGTTCTGCGTCTGCTCCAGGGCCCCAAGTCTTCTAGAATGCTCTGACAGCTGTGAGCAGAGCTCCTCCCATCTCTCTGTAAGCAGCCCCTGCGTGTCCAATCCTGCCTGAAGGGCTGGACTGGCCAGCCTCGCTGTGCCTGCACGAAAGCTGTCCCCCTTCCTCTCTGAACGCTCCCACCCAGCTGGGCCACCAGCCCCAACCTCCGCCAGCCCAGGGACCGGAGCAGCTGGGGCAGGCTGCTGAGGTTCTGGTGACAGAGGAACGGGGCTGGGGGCTCCCATAGTGCGCGGCCCCTGCCCGGAAGGATCCTAGCAGCAGGGACAAGCTGGTGCAGCCTCGCTATGGGTGGATGCTGACCCCAGGCAGCAGCTCTAGAAGGTTCGTGGATCCCCAAGGATTCTGCTTTTAGCTGGAGGAAAAGCGTTAACATGGAAACTAGCAGAGGAGGAGCCCCGGGAAGTCCTGCCAAGATACGGCTACTAAATCCAAACTCACACACGGTCTGGGAGCGAAGACAGGCCAGCCAGGTGGGAGGAGTCCTGTCACGGCCTCCTCCAGAACTAGACCTTCCTGGGGGCCTCAGCTCCAGACCCAGAGTCTGATCTCTCCACCCTTGACCCACACTCTGCTGTTGCAAGCCTGGCCCCTCCTCCCTCAGGGCCCCTCTTCCCCGAGTCCTGGCTCCCCCTCCAGCTGATGCTTTGCATTGGAGTCCTCCTGTCTGAACTCCGAGGGCCCTGGGCTTTGCTTCTCATCCCATGGCCACTCATGGAATTGTCTGACTGCCATGTTCTTCCATGTGTATTTTAAAATATTCTTTTGGGTTTTTTTTTTGAAGATTTTATTTATTTATTTGAAAGAGTGAGCGAGCAAGAGAGTGAGCACAAGCAGGGGGAGAGGCAGAGGGAGGGAGAAGCAGGCTTCCCGCCGAGCAGGGAGCCCGATGCGGGGCTCGATCCCAGGACCCCGGGACCATGACCTGAGCAGAAGGCAGACGCTTAACCGACTGAGCCACCCAGGCATCCCTATGTGTGTATTTTTAATTGAGCACCTGCTATGTTCCAGAAACCCAAATCTGCACAGGTATCACAAAGCCCTTCTACAGATGAGCAAACTGAGGCTCTCAATAGTTATGTGACTCACTGTGAGGCCCACCCACTGCCCAAACTGGACGCCCACATCCCCCCTGTCCTCAATCCCTTCTGCTAACTCTTCCCAGATCCCTCTCCCCGTCACCGCTGTCGTCCCATTGCTCCCAGCTGAGGCTCTCGCCCTTAACCCATTCTCCACATGGCAGCCTGAGAGATTGTCCTAAGAAACAAATCTGATCCTCTGGTAAGTGCAACACTTAGAAGATAATGCGACTCTTCACCGTCGCCTACAGGCCCTGCCACCGAGGTCACTCGTCTGGCCAAACCCAGACCACAGCTGCGTCCCGCGTGGCCTCCACTGGGCTGAGGGTCTTTACTAGTATTGTTGCTTCTGTTCAGTCGTTTGCATCCTCCTGTTTTTGAATGAAATGCCACTTCTCTTGAAAAGATGGATCTCCAGCTTCTTGTTTAAAAAATCCAGAGCTCTGGTGCACGGAGTGGTGATGACGAGCTGGCTGAGTTCTGGCCAGCCCCTTTCAGGGGGGACCCGTGCTCTCACCTCAGCCACCTGGCTGGCCCTCAGGCTGGGGTTTGCGACCCCAGAACCCTATGATCCAGCCTCACAGTCTGTCACCTCCCAGTACGCAGAACCCTCCAGCCTGGAAATCTGTTCCTAGACTTCCCCAGGGTCTGTCCTGACTTGGACCCTTGCACCTGCTCGTCCCCCTCAAGGCTTTGCCACTGGGGTCCTCTCCTGCTGGTGTCTTCCTTCTGGCCCTCCTAAGGGACCCCCAATTTCCCTCCCCCGCTGCACCACAAAGGTGCGTATCCTGTCTGCCTCTTTCCTCAGTCTCCCCACCAGGCTGAGCTCCATGGGGATGGGACCTCTGTCAGTCTTCAGGGCCACAGCCCCAGGGAGGCGAGACTCAGGCGAGAAGTGAATGAACTTGAATGTGTTCGACAGCTGAGGCAGAGCAGGAAGGGCCGGCCTCTCGCCAAGTCAGGGCTCAGAAGCCCGAGACCAATGGTGACAAGCATCATCTCCAGATGGGGACACCTGAAGGGGCTCGAGGCTGGCACCCCTGCCCTGCCAGGTCCCTGCCCCACTACTGGAGACACCAGTCCTGTTAAAAATAAAACAGACTTGGGACGCCTGGGTGGCTCAGTCGGTTAAGCGGCTGCCTCCGGCTCAGGTCATGATCCCAGGGTCCCGGGATCGAGTCCCGCATCGGGCTCCTTGCTCGGCGGGGAGCCTGCTTCTCCCTCTGCCTGCAGCTCCCCCTGCTTGTACTCTTGCTCACTCTCTCTCGCCCACACTCTCTCTCTCTAACAAATAAATAAAATCTTTAAAAAAAATAAAACAGACTCAAAGCAATGTGCTGGCCTGGAGGGGAGCCTGGGGCGGAAAACGGTTGTCTACGAAAGTTCTGGTGAAATCCCAGCCAGGCCAGAAATTTAGTGACTAGGATGGTGTGTTGGTGTTGACAACAGTGCCTTCGTGCTGTAACATGACAGTGAAGGAAAGTGATTAAGGGGCCGACCAGAACTCTGTATTGCCTTCACGAGCTTTCTGTAAATCTACAGTCACCCAAAAGAGAAACGTCATTGAAAAACAAATAAATAAATCAAGTGCGCGCACAGCAGCATCTGCAAAGGACCGAGCCAACGACACAGATAAGAGCTATTAAATAATAACACGCATGTCGTGACAATAACAGCCGCCAAACCTTGCGTTGCTTGAGATCACGGCTCACGACAACCCGGTGCAGAGGTTCTAACTGTAAATCCCGCTACGCAGATGTGGGGACTGAGACTCAGCAGGCTCAGGACCTCACTCAGGGTGTGACACTTGCAGGTGACAGGGCTGGCCTCATGGGTGTGCCCCCCTCCCCGTGCAGTCACACGGGCCCTGCTCTCCCTCAATGCTCGCTGTCACTATCTGGAAATTCTTAACAAGCTCTAACAAAGGGGCCCTGCGAATTCTGCAGCCCGTCCTAGGGTCTCTGGGCTCCCAGGGTAGGTGTTCACGCCTCAGAAGGGTCATTCACGGGTGGCTCCATGGGGAGCGTGGGACCAGCACCCTTGGCCGAGGAAACATCACGGGGCAAAGGGTAGCCGCAGGAGCAGTGGTGAGTTAGAGGGGGGCCATCGGCGGATGGATTCGGGTGCAGCCAGGACTGACCCACCCTCGACACAGCAAGGAAAGGAAGTTTCTTTCCCAGCCCAGAGCATCAAACCAGCCACCCCCTCCCAGGGGTCTGCTCAGTTCAGCAACCGCCTTGTCAGATTCTCCGCGGCCCGACAGGAGGCACGCTTATGCCCAGAGTCCAGCCAGTGGTGGTCCACCTCCAGACGAGTGTCCGTGGCCTCTATCAACAGCTGGCCAAGGTCCCCAGCCGGCTACTGTCATGTGCGAGCCGTACGGTTCTCGCTCTGATGCTGGTTATCAACAGAATCCTTGGAGGTTTTGTTGGCTGGCCTCAAACGTGGTTGGCTCCACAAAAGAATGTTGAAAATAGCACCAGTTAGCTCTGGGAAGCAGAAAGCAAACACAGACTCGATCAACCATTCTGTCAGGGTCCCTAACGTGGATAGTGGTTCTCCATCAAATAAACAAGCCATTAGGGCAAGAAGAGAGGCGTCCACCAGAACCAGCAGGTGTTGGGAAGCCGCCTCCATGCCTGCCCCATGTCCCTGCCCAGCGTGGAGAAAGACTCTTGTCCCCGGGCTGAGCAGCCACCTCCTGACAGCTGACGGAGCCTGCCTCAGAGCCACGGCCCCCACTGTCCCCTGTCCCAGGCATCCAGGCAGCCTTGGGAGCCTCCTCTCAATCCACCCTTTCTTCAGACCCAGCTGTCCTCAGAGCTCTGGTCTGGGCTTACAAACCTCGGCCGGGCCTGCCTCCTCCGAGCAGGCGGCCTGGGCTGCGGCCACCGCATCGATGCCATCCCCTGGCACTCGCCTTGGGAAGCCCTTTTCCAGGAGCTCGCCCCCCGTGCTGTCCCGGTCTGATTAAGACATTTTATCCACTGGGCCCCCTGAGAGTGACAAGGGATGATTTTCAAGGTCTGGAAAATAACATCTGAGAGTGAGAGAAAGAAAGAGGCCTCGATGGGGCGCCTGGGTGGCTCAGTTGGTTAAGCGACTGCCTTCGGCTCAGGTCATGATCCTGGAGTCCCGGGATCGAGTCCCACATCAGGCTCCCTGCTCGGCGGGGAGTCTGCTTCTCTCTCTGACCATCCCCCCCCCTCATGCTCTCTCTATCCCATTCTCTCTCTCAAATAAATAAATAAAATCTTTAAAAAAAAAGAAAGAGGCCTCGAGATGGGCAGAGCAGGAGGTAACCGGAGACAGGGAAGGAGACACAGACAAAGAGAGGGAGAGCCGGAGGGGGACAGAGACACACCCGAGAAAGAGAGAGAAGATGCGGAAACAAGATAGGGGGGACTGAAAAAAAGTAGAAATAGATGGAACGCAGGAGGGGAAGTGGGGGAAATGGAGAGAGAGGGATGACATGAAGAAGTAAGACAGAAGAGGAGAGGGAAGGATGGGGGCCAGGAAGTGGGTGGCTGGGGCAGGTTGGGGACAAGGACCCGGAGGGGAGGAGATGGGGACGAGAGTACATTCAGGACCTCTCCAGACCCCAGCCAGGTCACTGCGCCAGAGGCCATGAGAAAACACTGGCCAGCCACCAGCCCCCACCTGCCGGCCCCACCCCTTTGTCAAAGAAATAATATTCCCAAAGGACAGAGGCCGTCTCAGAAGACAGGTTAGTCTTTGTGGAAGGGACTCCATCTCAGCTTAGAGGCAACACTTTGCTCTTTTCCCATGTGGTTCAGGAGTCCTGAAAACCCCGGTCTAAACCCTGCATCTCGGAGCCCAGCCAGTGGGGCCCAGCCCTCTGGCTGCAAAGAGAGAAGGGCGGAGGATGGAAAGATCCTGAGCTCGCTCCCTCTCTCACACCCACCCCAGACACCCAACCCCGGGGGCAGCCCCACCCCACCTGCCAGGACCTCGTCTGTCTGTCTGTCTGTCCAGGGCTGGCCATATCCCTGTGCCTGGTGCACTTTGATGCTGAATCAATTCGCACTCAGTCATTGACCTGGCGCCCCTCTGCCTCCCTGGGTGGCCTCATTCAGCCTCGGGGCCAAAGCCACTGGCTCCATGCTGGACACCTCCAGACCTGAACCCCACACTCACATCTCCAACTGGGGCTCCACCTGCAAACACATCCACACCAACTCTTGAGTCACACGGCAACTTGGACGAATCTCCAGGGAATGATGCTGAGCGAGAAAAGCCAATCCTGAAAGGTTACCCAGTGTAGGATTCCATTTATAGAACATTTTTGAAATAGCAAAATTTGAGAAACGGAGGGCAGATTAGTGGCTGCTGGGAATGGAGCAGGGGTGAGGGTGGTCATGAAAGGATAGCCAGAGATCCCTGTAATGTTGGAGATGTTCAGCGTCTTACAGAACCAATACAACTGTAGAGAACCAACTGTTTCAATGTTAATACCTGGCCAGGATACTGTACTACAGTTTTGCAAAATGTTACCACTGGGGGAAAATGGGCCAAGTGTACAAGGGATTTCTCTGTATTATTTCTTAACTGTGTGTGAATCTACAATTTTCTCCATAAGGAATTTCAATTAAACACCATGCTCCGCCCCCCCCCCCCCACACACACACAGAATGGACCCTGTGTCCACAGCCCCACACTGCTCCACCCTGGTCCAGGCCATCAGCATCTCTCCCTGGACCATCCCAGCGGCTCAGAACTCCTAGCTTCCACTTGGACCCACAGGCCAGACGCAGGCCATCTTGAATCCTGTAGAGCTGAGTCCCAGCCCTGGGCCCAGGTCTGCTCCCTCCGCTCCCTCCACCTTCCCCTCCCTAATCCGGCGGGCTGCCTGCTCAGGTCTCACTGCTCCTGCAGCTGCCCAAGACACCTGCACACCCCCTTCCCCACCTCCTCCAGTGCATCCCCTTCTCAGGGAGGCCTTCCCTGACCACCTCCTGCCCTCATCCAACTCCCTGCATGCTTCTTCTTTGCTTCTCTCTGTCCCCTGGGGCACCAGACTGTCAGCTGCTGGAGGGCAGGAATATTTTCTGTCCTCCTTGGGTTCTGAGGATCTGAAAGACTGAACAGCTCATACAGGTGGGTGGCTAAGTATTTGCTGAATGAACGAATGAAGAAACGAATGTAGAATGAACAGAAGAACAGAGGGGAGGTCCGTGGAGATTTGGCATCAAAGGAGTTAAGTCTGGCCCGGGGGCTGGGGAAGGAGGGGGTGAAGGGCTGGGGTCTGGAGCAGCCCAGGAGGACTTACAGGGGAATGCGGGGGAGGAAGAGGCCACTGTGTGCCTCGGCACAGAGGGGGGGGTGGGCGGGGCCAGCTCCAGGAGCAAAAGCCCAGGGCACAAAGAACACCCTGCAGGCTGGCCACGTGCCCACACCCCCAACACACACCCCAACACTCTTTCAAGAAAACCAGACACAGGGTTTGGGTGGAGGCTGAGCTCACTTTCTGGGGCCTCCTGAGGATCTAGGGGCCAAGTCTAAGGGGCTTCCTACCTAATCTGCCCATTTCCTCCAAAGTGGCTCACTGCTGGGGGAACGAGGATGTGCGTGAAGGCGGGGGTCGTGGGGGCCTGGGGGTCACCGAGGGCCTTGGATTTGCTCTGACATGCTCTCCAATGCCCCACATGGAGCCGCCAGTGCTGACAGCCGGTCCCTTCATCCAGCACAGGAAACCATCCCACTCCCACATCCCTCGGACAGCAGTGGTCCCCCTGCCTGGCTGTGCGATCCTGGCCAAGTTACTTACCCTCTCTGTGCCTCCGTTTCCTCACCTGGTAACAGGGCTAATGATAGTTCCTACTTTGCAGGGTGTTATGCCCATATAACTGCGGAGTGCTTAGAAAGCGCTAAGTGCCCGATGGTTGCCGACTGATTTCATTACTATTACAGCCACCTGAATTCATATTCTTTTTAAATACCGTCAGTAGCTCGGAAAGAGCCCAAGCGTACAATTCCATAGCATTGCACTTTTAGTATTAAATGCATTCAGTTTCAAAACATGAACATTTAAACTAAACCACAGTTGTGGGAACCCGGGCTGGTACTGCTTTGATTTTTTTTTTTTAAAGATTTTATTTATTTATTTGAGACAGAGAGAATGAGAGACAGAGAGCATGAGAGGGAGGAGGGTCAGTGGGAGAAGCAGACTCCCCGCCGAGCAGGGAGCCCAACGCGGGACTCGATCCCGGGACTCCAGGATCATGACCTGAGCCGAAGGCAGTCGCTTAACCAACTGAGCCACCCAGGCGCCCCACTGCTTTGATTTTTAATAACAAGGGGCCTCAAGAATTGTAAGTGTGGGGACATTCCCCAGCCACTAAAAGGCATGGCTCATCTATCAATCAAGGCAGCCGGCTCGCAGTAGATACTCGATAAACACCTGCTGATCAGTGACAAGTTACGGGAGGCACACACTGGCAGCCAGCCCCAGCAGCAGCCCCTGGCCTGTGGCTTCCCATTTCTCTCACACCAACGACTAATGCCAGCTGAGCCACTCCTGCCCACCCGCCCCCTGCCCCCCCCACCGACACCCACTCCTCGGGGTATCGCCTGAGGCCTCTGGAGCCAGGTCCGAGCCAGCTGTGAGCTGCCGGTCACAGGAGGGAAGAGGGAGTGCGGGGGCCACAGTGCTGAGACCCCCAACCCAGGCCCCAGTGGGCACCTCCCCACCAGTGCTCAGCAACATCCAGGCCTGGAAGCAGCCCCTCGCTGCTCCGGCTCCTCACTACATTTAAAAGCCAGCATTACCCCCTTCCGGCTGAGGTTCCCAGGTTAATTATTAGGACTCTCCAAGTAACGGGAACTTTGGCCTTGACTTTAGGTCTGGCAGCAAGACCAGGTGCGATGGTATCAGCCGGAGCAGGTACCTGGACGAATTTACTGCTTAATGAGACGTGGTTTATTTTCCCAGAAGAAAGCTGACCATGAACAGAGCCAAGTTCAAGAGCTTCCCAGGCCCCTCAGGCATCCAAGGGATCGCACTTCCTCCAGAAGCCCCAACCCCAGCTTCAGGCATCACGCAAGTACCTGTGCTGACGAAGGGCTCACCTGCACGCGTCACATCCCTCGGAACCAGGACGGCCGATGGCAGCTAGTCACCGTCGGCGATCCAGCGCCAAGCCAGTCCTCCCTCTCCCATGGCAGCCACTGCCCTGACCCCCCTCTCCTTCTCTGTCACGCGTCGGGGGCATGCAGCCCTCTTCAGATTTAGCTGCTAATAGCACCCGCCCGGGAGCTGTACTTTCTGGGGAGACGGGAGCTTAGGCGGGGACCCGGCTTCATCATCCCGTCACCCTTTGGTGCTCAGTTCACAGCTGGTATTACTAGTGGCTCCCACGTCCCGCGTGTCACTGCAGGACTCCCTCCTACGGTGCGGTCACGTCCCCAAGGACACCAGGGCTCTGAGAGGGGCGGTGGGTGTCCACGGCGGAGCCCAGCTGGTGCACATAGGACCAGATTCAGACCTGGGGGCCCCTCCACTCCACCCCTCTTTCTATCTGAGGAGGGAGGGGTCCTGGTGAGGGGAGGAAGAGGGGGGGGCCAGGGGGCACGGTGAGGCTTTGTGTGGTGCGTGTGACACGAGGAGACAGAAGCCCAGAGACACATGGAGAGGCACAGAGACGGGCAGATGAACGCTTCGGAGATGGGGATCCAGATGGACACAGAGACTGACAGGGGCTGACCTCCCCTCGTGGTGGCCAGCTTGGCCCCCAATGTGTTGACAGTGGTGGGGACTCAGAGGCGGACCCCAGATGCCCCCGGTGCCTGTCCCCCAATGACCCAGCCTCACCTGGGACATGTCCTCAGCCAGCGGTGCGCTGCAGTCCTGGCATGAGCTGGGGGGAGTCCGGCCCAGGGGCGACAGTGGCTCGGGGAAGAGGGGGTTGCCCCATTCAACTCCCACCGGTGGGATGGGTGGCAGCTCTGCACCAGCTCTTGGGGGTGCAGGTGGAACCCCCAGTCGCTCAAAAGGCAGTTTCTACAAAACGGATCCCAGCAGCCCACACTCAGAGCAGCTGCGGGGTGCTGGCCCCGTGCTGAGTGCCGCACACACGAATCCCGGTCCCCGGAGGCAGTGTGTGACCCCACAGGTGCTCTGGAGCCAGGCGGCTGGGGGCATCTGGGCTGCTTCTCTTCCCTCCTCTGGCTGGTTGCGGGCAAGCGGCTCGACCTCTCCCTGCCTCGGTTGCTCTTCTATAAAATGGGCCAGTGATGGCTGCCCACCTCACTACAACAAGCAGGAACTGAGGCCCGAGTTCAGTCCGGGGCACCCAGCACAGCGCCTGCCATGCAGGACGTCCTCACCTGGCTCCCCCACCTAGTGATGTATGAGCCTCAGCACCCAAACAGTGCTCACGTCCGAGCAGGTGCCCGACAGGAGTTTGCCAAGTAAAGAGGGAATCCTGCACGCTGCAACCCTCAACCCGATTCCATGAGGTTTGAGCACTGCTCCCCCATTTCACAGAGGGGAAAGGTGAGACCCTGTTCCAAGGCCACGGAGCTGGTGAGCAACTCTGCCAAGGCACAAACCCAGGGCTGTTGGGCTCTAGAACCCATGCTTTCACGTTTTTAAACTCCTATTTTGGGGGGCGCCAGGGTGGCTCAATTGGTTAAGTGTCTGCCTTCGGCTCCGGTCATGATCCCAGGGTCCTGGGAATCGGGCTCCCTGCTCAGCGGGGAGGCGGCTTCTCCCTCTGCCTCTGCCCCTCCCCCCAGCTCATGCTCTTGTGCCCTCTCTTGCTCCATCTCAAATAAATAAATAAATAATCTTAAAAAAAAATAAACTCCTTATTTTGGAAATTTTCCGTATTTACCGGAAACACAAGAAAGCAAAGAGGGGACGATGATGAGCCCCACATACGACCGTCCGGTTCTGAGAACCGTCATTCATCTGGGTCAGCGATTCCTAACCCAGGGCGATTTTGCCTCCAGGGACTTTTGCAATTTCTGGACTTTTATGATGGTCATAAATGGAGGCATCTGTTGGGCAGAGCCCAGGGACGCTGCTAACATCATACGATGTGCAGGACAGCCCCGCAGCAGAGAACGATCTGGCCCCAAGTGTCAGTAGTGCCAAGGCTGCAGGGCCCTGGTCTGAACCATGCTTTCAGCTACCCCCCTCCGAGTACCACAGGGGTTTGGTCTACACTTGGGGGTCGGGGGGGGGGCAGTGCATTAAAACATGGGAACAGGGAGAGCAGAA